GTATTCGTATACTCATTATTCGAATATTCTTTACTCGTTATAAATGAAACATAGTTTGGTATAGTGAATAACGAATAATCGTTCGTTCCTTTCTTTCGAGGCTTACGTATTACGGCCCATCTCTAGTTATTGCGGTATAGTATTCAGTTCGTTTTTGCAGTTTATATCAGAGATCGGCACGGGCCGAAAATTTTTGGCGCGGCCCGTGCCGATCTCTGGTTTATATTTAATACAGAAATATACAACCACATCTAAAGACCGACACTCTTGAACAATGCTAAAACCGACGGTTTGAGATGGATATACTCAATACGGCTGTTCAACAACAGCACATCAATTTAACTTGCTGCGAAGAACTGGAACAGTCATTGGGTCAAAGAGCAAAAGTGTTTTGGCCGACGACAGACGGCTATTCACAAGCAAAAAGAATATGGAATGGCATTGTTTGACAATCATACTGATAGTTCAGGTGACCGGTGTTGCTGATGTTCAAGCTGTACTTAAATTTGCACACCAACGTAAGCGCACCGAAATTAATTCTAAAAATCATAACTCATTTAGTGTTTTATGTCGTAGAAGGATTAACTGTAGCTGCAAGGACCGGCGGTCACTCATTTGGAGACCTTTCCACTATTCACGGCGGTATCGTTATTGATTTCATTCAAATGAAAAGTAAACTAAATTTAACGAAAAGCGAAGAACCACACCATATTGCTGCTGGTTTTTTAGTTGTTATTGTGAATCCAGGAAAAACAGAAGTCCGTGTCCAACCCGGCGTTCTACTTGCAGAGCTAGAGCATGAAACCCAAGCGTTCGGTTTGGCAACTTCAACCGGTTTTTACATATCTTTTTAACTATTTAGAAGTTGTTGGTTATACTGGTGTGTTTGGTTTAGTGTTGGGAGGAGGTGCTGGCTGGCTTTCGAGAAAATTTGGTACATCTGTTGATAATATTTTGTCCGCAAATGTGGTTTTAGCCAATGGAAAACATGTCACCGTTTCTGCAGATGAGAATTCTGATTTATTTTGGGCTTTGAGAGGTTGTGTTTCCAGTTTTGGTATTATTATTTCGTTGGTATTGAAACCTCATGAATTGGACTGTGCTAGCGAGGAAATTATGTAAGTATATGAACTATAATGTGTCTACAAACCATATAACATGTATATATTTCAATAGTGTTATTCTATGTCTCAAATCAGACAAATTTTATTTGGTGTAAACAACTGCATGAAGACAGCACCAAGAGAATTCGGTTGTCAACTATTCAATGAAGAGCTGACTTATGGGGATCGCGAAATGTATCTTAAAGTATCGTATACCTTTTATTTGCCAGAAGATGAAGCTGAAAAAGTGGCTGAACCACTAACAAAACTTGGATTACCAGTACAAGAATGTTGGGTGTGGATAACTCATGTACAAGTAACATAATTGTTCACTTTAATATCCCAACATTCGCTATAAATTCATTGTAAGTTTTAGAATCAAAAATTATTTGATGATAAAAGCTGGCTGCATCGAAAATATTATGCTAAATCAGGGTCCATTGATTTCCATGATATGACAATTGAATTTGTGAATTCTGTTGTTGAATCGGTAAACAATTTAACTTCACTTAATTCAATCGTCGAATTAGTTGCTATTGGCGGTATTATGAAAGACACATCAACTGATGAAACTTCTTACTTTCATTTGAGAAAACAAGATTGGCTGGTTAATGTAATTACATCGTGGTGTGAAGGCAATGGTGACGTACATATAAATTGGTGTAGAGAAGCATTCAAATAGCTACATGCAAGATCAGCAGCAGCCTATTTAAATTTAATGATGATGGATCCGCCCACTAACACTACTTATAAGGAACAATTGAACCAAATCTGATCATTTGGGTCAAATCTGAATAAATAAAGAATTATTAAAAAGAAATACGATCTGTTTAATTTTTTTTATCATAATCTAAATCTGTTACCAGACGATGATAATAACGATAATTAAATTACAAGAACGGTTGTTAGTCAGATTCTTCTGTAGTTGCGGATCTTTTTGTTGCTATCGATGGTTGTACGTTAACCTGTTTTCTATCGGACTTGTCTACAAAAGAGTATCTAGACATATACTGACATTCTTTGACTTTTTTACGTTTCTTATAAAACTAAGTATATTTAATATAATTGAAAAACATTTTTGTAAAAGGATTTTACACAAAAAGCGAGCTTTCTATAACTACTATCCGTTCCAAAATACAAGAGCATCGATTCGTTTTTGAATAACTTTTGATAGGTAATAGATAGAGAGGTGCGGTTTTCAGTTTTAGAAACTAGAGATCTGAGCCTGTGTTTCTATAAGCGGAAGCGAGTTTCGAAAAGAAAACTGTTCGGTCTACAAGATGTGACAGTTTTTAAGAAAAAACAGATAAACCGTGAAATGTTTTGAAAATGTGGGAGAAAAGAGGACCGTTAGCTGGGCAAGTCCTTAGGATAGCTTTAGTTTAAATTACAAATTTCACACATTTTGCACGAAACAACCGTAGTCACCAGTGCTCAATCGCAAAACGTGCGGCTAATCCGACAAGGTGCTTTTCTTCCAGTCGGTATCAGAGACACCATTCTATCTGTTCTTTATTCTACCTTGCTGTTGCTCATATCCATTATAGACAGGCTCTATGAAAGACAATGTTTGAAAGGGGAAAAAATCTAATTATCGCAAAGGGTTTCAAAGAACTACTATGGATATTTTGAAGAATGCTTTGACTTTTGGGAACTGTTATGAAGGTTTATGTAGAAAGAGAAAGTCTTTTATGAAAAACATTTTTAGGACTATTTCTCTTCCATTTAAATATAGTTTGTACAAAAAATAAAACACAAAAACCAACTACATTTTTTATGTTGAGTGCGATGTTTCTAGTCAATAACAACAACCACTATCGGCTCTCACGAGAGAACGGCAAACCCGTGAGAATCTTGATATAACCCTTTGTGGTAATTAGATTTTTTGCCCTTTCAGACATTGTCTGAGATAAGATTTACATTATATAAAAGTATATTTTTTCAATCCGACCATGCAGGATATTCTTCATTTGGCTGAAGAAAATCGAAAACTTTCTTAAAGAGCTTTTTCTGAGGGTGAATTATTAAAATTTTTTCATGAAACATTGTACTTTCTGAGTAAGCCCCTACTTTTATACTACGATATAAATATAGAAAATGGAATAATATTTTTTTGCCAAGTAAAAACTACCTGCATGCTAAGTTAATTTTTGCTAAGTAAAATTTGTATCTGCTCAGTAAATAATTTGAATGTTTAATAAAATTATTGGATGCTCAATTAATTAAATTTTTCTCAACAATTAAAATTTTTGCCAAGTTTGATAAGTAATATATAAGCAAAAATATTTAATCATTAAGTTAATAAATTGAAAAATGTATTTTTTGTTTGTTTATCAAAATATATGTAATATTTTGCTTAGAAAATTTTTATTTAAAATTCAAAGAAAATACTTAGAAAAAAATTATTTTTTACTTAGCTTGTACAGAATATATAGATACAGAACAGTAAATTTAGTTTTGCAGTTAACTGCAAAGCTAAGTGCACATGTTCGAATCTTTATTCGTACAAAATTGATTTTGTGTTCTTCGATAGTTTTAGTTTAGAATACTATAATGGAATATTTTTCCGTTTGTATTTTGACAGAATAAAGCTCATACGATATTATCGTTTTCTCCCCATCACAATAAATAAGGTTGTGCGTCTTATATCCCCACAAGACTACTTGTATATCATTTCTTCTGTGGCCACGTGTGATTAAGTCTTACTCATTATTTTATTGTTATATCGGTGGATCTTTTTCCTTTTTCTTCCATTTTTCTTTTGTTATTAAGAAATAATAGAAATATTGGCGTTCTGCTAGATTTTAGATCATGTTATTAAAGCCTAAATATTTTGATATAAATTTTTCCGATTTTTTTCGATAACGACTGATAGATTATTAAAATGCTGATCAAATTCACGTGATGTCGTACAGCTCAAAATAACGTTTGATCTTATCGTAAAACATTCTCTCAACGATAAATTGCAACACATTTTGAGTAAAACTTATCGAAAAATAATTACTTTTGTAAACGATTCCTCATTTTTGTACGGTAGATTCAAAAGTGAAAACTGCAGTGTTCGACAGATGTTATTGCATGAAACAATGCTCTTAAGTAAGGCATTCACTGGTGCTTTGCCAAGTCTGTGGGTTATCGATACATATCACGATGAAATTCGATATGCTTAATGTTAGTTCGATACTTTTTCAAAATACAAGAAAAATAAACGACTACAATTGTTTATAATACATCATGTTCAAAAACCTAGCTTCATTACAGATTTCTGCACATGATGCATTGTGTTCTTTCCAAAAGTTAAGACACATAGTAAACTTATGAAGTCTTATGCAAGTATAGTATCACTTTTCACTGTGGTGAGTTTGATACTTGCTTAGAATGAAGTTTTGTACACTTCATTTAAAACTAACCTTTTAGATATTCCAGTGTATATTGTCCATTTCCAACTATAATTTCTCTTTCATTTATTATAGCTAGCACATACGAAGTATGCTCAAGTTTAATTGATCGTTTTTCACCTGTACTCTTGAGAATCCATAATTTTTTCATTCCAGTTGTAATAAAAAAATTTCCATTATAATCATTTCTAATTTCAACATTACCACCACATTCACCCAACATAATCGAACGTATTTTGACCATATTTAAATCGCAAAATGTAACATGAAAAACTTCTCGTTTATCGTTTCTACGTTGACGTCCACACAGTGCGGCAAATATATGACTGTCGACACAGAAACTAAAACTATTACTAACAAATTTACCAATGTGAGGAACATTGAAGTCAATTGTATTGACTTGATGGAATAACTTCGAATATATTTTAATGCCATCGAAGTATGGATTTGACGAGTTAATCCATGTCCATATGTAGTCTTGGTTACATGATATTCTTACGAACGTCCAAGTACCGTTTATCGCAAATTTTATTTTAAATTTATTTGTGTATTCAACACTATATACTCCGTTGAGGGTTGCACAGAGATACCGTTCTATGTTAGCACACCATATTAAATCCAGAATACGTGAATGGCACCAGTTACACGTTCTTTCACCAACCTTCTGATACAAATTATAATAGACCAAGTAGTCCGGTCTGCCTGTTGAGCTAAATAAAAGGTTTTGACCATCGTTAGCTATCCGATCAACTTCATATCGAGTTTTCAGACTTGTTTGTGTTCGAAACCACACATCAAGATTATGAGAATTAAAAGAAGAATATTCTGGTGATTCTTCATTATCATCATCATCATCGTCATCGGCGTTGGTATTAACATGCACTGCGCTTCGTGGACGTACATTTTGCAGAACGAAATTTGCTTCATTTTCATTCTTGTTAAGTACGACCGTCTTATCACTTGATTTACTATGAACAATTTCATTTTCAATGTTTCTCGTTGATCTATTATTGTCCATTCTGCTTTGGAAAGATATTTCATATTTGGGCAGATTGCAGGGCATGTGAACGTCCTTTGTGACATCAAATGTCTGAAGGCTCTTTTGAACATTAATTAATTTTATTTTTAGATTATCGATATGTGTAGCCTGAAAGATACCAGATTTTGTCAGTGTTCGTATTTCACTACCAATTTCTTGTAATTTGTCATTGATATTGTCCATTTGAGCCTTTTAAAGGGAAAATAATACGTATAGACAAACAACTGTCAACTAGAAAAAACATCATACCTGAGCTTGGATTTTCTCCTTTTCAATACCACTGAGTATTTTCTGTTGATGTAGAATCAACTCATTCAGATAGTTTTCAAACCACAACGAAATATCTTTAATTGAATCTCTTGATATATTTGTAATCATATTTTGTTTTGCTTCAATAATCAGTTTAGTTTCATTGTACTGGTCTTGCATGTAATTAACAGTATCATTTACTTCATCGTTATGTAATTTCATGCAGTCAATGCACATTGGTAATGCACAATGTTTACATTGACAAACTGATGTCTTTATACGATTATGATTTTTCTTACATAATGCACAAGGATCCCCATTTGTATTGCTTCTTCTAGCTGTTGCCATTCGTGGTTACGGGATAAACTGTCAAATGTAAAAGTGAGAATTTTTTATGGTTTCGCATGAGTATGAAGTAAATACATTTTTTACTAAGTGTCCTCTTTCACTGTTAACGTACATCTCGTTATTTGTTTTTTCTCTCCTATTTTTACAAACATTATTTCAAATACAAATATTGAATAAAATACAATAAAAAATCAGCATCACAAATTTTTTCTTCATTTCGGTTGAATGCATTTAGAAAGAGAGATTGTAACACTATAATCGCCCTGTGCTTTGCTACGATTAATAACTAAAGTCAATTCAAACTCACATTTAATGTTCACTGAAGCTAGCCAATAGTGTTTTAGCACTGACTGACGATCTTTTATACCTTTCTGACTGAAAAGAGCGTTGCCTTATTTCCTGCGCGTTAAACCCCGCCTGCGCTGAAAATGTTTTATGTTTTAAAAAGCAAATACTTTTACCGCGAACCCATTTCTAAAAGCTACTTAGAATTTATTCATAGAAAATCTGTTTCTGCATAAGATAACGTCGAATAACTATCTGGTGTAACATCATTCTTTCTAGTCAACTGAGATGGCATGCATTGTTACGTCTAGCTTAACCCTTTACACCCGAAGACACTTTTATTATAGCTGCCGATGAAATGACTACTGCATTGAACCTTACAGTTCTTCGGTACATCCTTGTTATATCGAGGCTTAAGTGGTGTTGCTTTGCAGCATGGATACATGATGTCCCTTGGAAGGGACATTCGGGTGTAACGGCATGGATTTTGTATTTTTTTCATTGTTATTCCGAACTTCCTTTTTTACTCTAGTATATTACTATGAGTTTCTTTTCAATTCTTTACTCACTGAAAAATGTTTCCATAGAAACAAACGTTCAGACGCATTTTTCTTTAATTTTTCCAAAAAGGTCGTGCCCGAACGCGTTTTCCGAATCAAAATGGCCCTAAGGGCGCTTATAAACGAGCTTTTTTTTTATCTTAATGAAAGAAAAGTATGTTCGGATTCATCTTGTTTTTTAAAAAACTGAAGGTAGTTTAGACGCGCCTCAATTTTATTCAATATTTTAAATGCAATTGAATGAAATTTTTATATCGATCAGAGAAAAGCACATTCACATTTGTCGGCGACGGCACTATACTGCTGGTTACATCTTTTTTCTTCATTCGCGCATCATCAGGTGTGTAGCGAGTGATCACAGAATGACCCACGCTAACAAGATATCGAGATAAAAAATTCACTTTTCATATCGTTACACCCGAATGTCCCTTCCAAGGGACAGTGAATTCACAGGGCCTTTACGCAAAGAAGAATGCTACAAAAATTTCTGCTTTAATTTCATCATAAAGTACATTTATACAATACAAACTATCAACTACAAAATTAGAAAATGGTTTAGTGGTTACAAGTATAGAAAATATTTAAAAACAAAAACTTTTTTTGAATTTCATTCAATTTTACAATTCAAAAATATTGGATTAAGATGGAAATTTTTTTTTTCTTATTTAAATCAAACGTTAGGCTACTCTATTGTCCTACATTAGTAATAATCTAGCTTATGGCCTGATGATCTGTTCTTTTTATAAATCTATTATATCAATGTCCCTTGGAAGGGACCGCCGGGTGTAAAGGGTTAAACGTACACTATACGACGAAGTAATATTAGCATTGGAAGATTGATGGGGTACTGCACAGTTTTTAAATTTTGGGTCAAGAAATATTTCAAATTAGTTAATATCGGCACAACAACAGTTGTCTATTTTATTAATTTAAACTTTTACTAAATCAGTTATCACATACGATGATCTTTACGATAAAATTAAAGAAATCCAGGAAAGGGTTGGACATCATAGTCGAGACAAGGTTTACCTTAACTTGAGAAAACTATAGTCAGAGAAGAAATATTGAATTTTAGCTTGCTTCGTTCCATCTTTTGTCTGGACTAATATTCGGTCTACTTTGACCATCCGATGGCGCCATCTATCCATTCAAGTTTTTAAAGTCGCTTTTTCTCCAAAAGTTCGGATAGAAGGGCGGGGGTTTTTTCATTCATATGATAGAGGCACATGTCCTCTTTATTTAAGACCATCCGTAGGTCTATAACTATTACCGTTTCGGACCTACAGGGATGGCCGGACCCATATATGCGAACTTTTTTTAATATTTTTTGAACCAAAATTAATTCAATATAGAGGTAATCAACTATGCTGATCACAGTAGCCATCTCGGTTTCCTTCCAGCATTTTTTTCCTAATCCATGGAAAGAGATTTTCCGCTAAGAAGATCTTCATTCGAACAAGTATTTATTAGAAAAGTACAACAAAGAGTAGAGCGTCCGATTCATCATCATCAGAGTTATTATCCAAATCCATATCATCATCCTTCAAGGTGGGTTTGATATTCTCTTCGACAAATTCATCCGCTTTTCTGAAAGTCATTAAGTCATGTACATGCTTATAGAAAGCAAGGGTAGTAGAATGATCGAGGGCTGCCATGTATTCGGCACTTAGGCGACGCACATCGGCGAGAGTGAACAAGCTATTGTTAGTGGGCAGGTAATTCTGCAGTTGTGCCCTTTAAAAAAATGTGAAGTTTAGTAAAAGCTATGAAAAAGGAGGATTTTTTTTACTATACAAGTTCAATGAGATTTAACATGCAATGTTTGATAGCTAGACGCAAGATATCAATATTGAACACAGCTGCTGCTTCATTCACTTTGTACTTCTTGTGGGGAGGATGGGAAAAGGTGGCTTGACTTTTTTGAACTGAGGATCGAAGGTGATATTGTGTTGTTAAAGCCAGCCTTGCAGCTAACCTTTGCGCCATGCTCGCTTATGAGGCTTCGTTTTAATAGTAGGTGTTTGGACAGACGAGCATTTAATGCTTGCAAATCTGCGTAAAATACTTTTAGCCGTAAATAACAATCGCTAATAACGCCTAAAAGAATGATTGGTTAAGATTTGGCCGTAAATAAGGATATTGATAAATTCATAAAAACCAAAAGCATTTTTTGAAAGAAATACTGAAATTAAAGTGTAAAAGGCTGTTCCAATATTGTATGCCTTGAAAAGTCTGCGAAATAAGTGGAAACTTTCTCCGAAAAAAATAATTGGCTATAAATTTGGATCAGGTATTATATGGACTCCAGCAATTGATTACTTCTTTATAGCGCGAACGAAAAAAGAGTAATGGTGACAAAACTTAGTAAGTTTATGTGATTCGCCATGTAAAGTAACCACCGAAAAACTTTATTTGGAAGATAATTTTTTAGGGCTTTTTCATTAGGAACACCTACCTACTAACACCCAAAAAGGTGACGCAAACATCCAAAATAATATGCCAGAATAATTGCCATCCTTTTATAAGCCTATTAGATCATTTTTGAATCCATAGGAAATCTGAGGAGCTTTTCTTCTAAGATGATAAAATCAGGCGTATATTTTTTCTTCAAAATGTGTTTCTGTTCTATTATAATTTTACGCTCGTTGATCTGCAATTAACGACTGTAATAAAATAATAGAAATATATGATTTCACGATATAAATCAGAAAATGGTTCGATCAACTGATAACTTTCTTCTTCAAATTATCTAACAGTTCTTCTCAAAATAGAAAAATGTTATTGAACGTGACACAAGATTATGTTGCTCGTGAAATCAAATTTGGTACTCTTATAACTATACAATTATTATCAATCACATGTTCTATATATATATTTTATCAAATCATTTTCACTAGTAATCGTCGACTTTTACGTCTACTACAGAACCACGTTATTCTATTACTGTTAATTATTAGTTTTCTCTGTGTAACAGTTGATTTATCTCTGGCATTGAACTATCTTCGTCTTGGTAATGTGTCACCACCAACAATTCATTTTTGTCTATTCTGGAATTGGTGTGATTATTCACTGGGAGGAATTAATTTGTACTTGATGTCATTTGCATCGATTGAACGTTATTTATTTATATTTTATAATTCACTTCTAATAAATAAATCAAAATTAGCTCATTATGTACCTTTACTATTATTATTAATCTACCATCCGTTATTTTATTTTATTGTAATGTATATTCACTCATGTGAAAGCAGCTTTGATTACACAAAAATATTTTGTACACAGCCGTGTTTTGTTTATGATCAAGTTTTGGTCTTGTTCGATTGGATAGTAAATGCATTACTACCATCATTCATTATTATTTCTTCGAACATTATTTTACTCATTCGTGTAGTATGGACAAAACAACAGATGCAGCAACGACGTTCAATATGGTCAAAATATCGGAGAATGATCATACAATTGTTATCGATTGCTTCTCTCTACGTTCTATTTTGGCTCCCAACAATTCTTGTTGGTTTAATAAATGTATTTTGGACGTCGTCAGTGTTGAACATTGTACACTATTCCTACCTATCCTTTTTCAATTATTTTGTTCAACTGTTATTTCCATTTGTTTGCGTAGCATGTATTCCAGAACTTTTGACAACATTCAGAAAACATTTGCGATGGCTCAAACGACAGCAGATCAGAATAAATGTCATTATTCCAATAAGTATATATTCGTGAGTTATATTGTTATAATACATTTCAGTTTAGACAAATATTATATAATGACAATTTCTCGTTTGTTTTGCGCTTTTCTATAGGACGGCGCGGCCAACTAACGGTCATTCTTTGGATCAGAAGGTTGGAATTTTTGTTTTCACCCAAAAAAAGGTTAGAAATACCTCGTCAGGCGCAGTTTCTCACTCTGATTACGAATCTGAACGCAAAAACAAATTGAAGTTAAATTTTACATTCAATTTTCTGCCCTAGGTAAGGTACCCGTAATTCGAACTTCGAGCAAAATTTGTTTTTGACTTAATCATACATATTCTGATTCGTGTTGTCGAACTGATCACGAATGTCACCTTTTGACTTCTTTTGAACCACATCTTCGTGGAGAAATACTTCGATTACGGAGAAGGTCGCAAAAACCCAAAACATTTTTGTTTT